TTTTTTCTCCTGGACATAAATCTATGTTTGATTTTATGATTTGTATTTTTTTAGATTTTTTTTTTCAGTTTTTTAATGTGTCCTCATTTTAAAATGAGTTGTCGCACGATATATATATATATATATATATATATATATTATATATATATATATATATATATATATATATATATATATATTATATATATATATATATATATATATATATATATATATATATATGTGTGTGTGTGTGTGTGTGTGTCAGCAAAAACCCACATGTCAACTTGTAGTATTGGAATGACCGGATAATAGGTTAAAAATGAAAGATTTTACTAAAACTTATGGTTTATGCATAACAAAAAAAAGTTCTGGTAAAATTAGAAAAAAGTTATAAAACTAATGACTATGATAATAACTCTTTATTTAAGTGTTTAAGTTTTTTTTATATATATTTTATATATGTCAGCAAAAACCCACATGTCAACTTGTAGTATTGGAATGACCGGATAATAGGTTAAAAATGAAAGATTTTACTAAAAACTTATGGTTTATGCATAACAAAAAAAAGTTCTGGCAAAATTAGAAAAAAGTTATAAAACTAATGACTATGATAATAACTCTTTATTTAAGTGTTTAAGTTTTTTTTTTTCACAACTTTTCATCCAATTATTAAAATAGTATTATGTTATTTCTCTAGTGTTTTAAAATCCTTATAGAAAAAAATTTAATTTATAAGATTACAACCGACAAACCTTTAAGAATTGATTGCTTAATATTTGTGGTTATCAAGATTTTACTGATCTCAAAATATTGTTTGTATTCTAGCTTCTTTCTAGATTTTCGTTCGGGTTTTTAATATAGTTTTGCTGCCGTTCAAAAAAATATTACCTTTTAAGCATTTGATAGATATATATTGAGTTTTATGAAATTTTCCATATAATTTTTTAAAGGCCTATAAGTTTAGATTGTTTTTACATATTGAGAAGATCCATTTGATGGATCCAATGATTCTGCTGTGCGATTGTCGAACCCAAGTGCCGACATCCCACCTTCATTTATGTTACAAGAATATGTTGTATTTTAAATTTAGATCAAAGGATATATTAGATTTATTTTAATATTAATAATTGTTTAAAAAATTAGATCTCAAATTTCATGGTGTCATTTATATTCCGTTTCCGAGTTCAACTTAACGAGAGAAAGGAAAGGAAATGAGTGGAAATGAGAAGAAAATATAAGAAATTGGTGTTCCCGAGTTTCATTAAAGAAGGTAAGTGGAGGGAAATGGGAGGATCACTTTCCCCTTCTAACTTTCCTTCCGATTTGGGAGGATTTGGAAAGAAAGAACAAAATAATTCATTTTCCTTCCACTTCTCTCCAACTCGAGAACACAAAAGAAAATTTTGTTTTCCTTTCCTTTCTCTTCTTTTCTCTCATGGCTTTCTTTTCTCTTCTCTTCTTTTCTTTTGTTAAACTCGGGAACGAGGCGTTAGACTACACAAAGTTAGAGGCGGGAAAGTGGGATGAAGTAGTGAATTAAAACATTTTGGATTACAGTGATCATTTAGAGCGTGTTTGGTTTTTAGTATTTGAAAGACAAAACTGCATTTTTCGTCCCTGTGGTTATCCAAAAATTGTGGATAAGGTCCAAAATGTTTTCAAGTTGCATGGTTGGTCCAAAACATGAAATTTCTTGTGGTTTTGGTCCCTGGAGTTAACTCCCGTCCATTTCCTTCCGTTTAGTGTAGCACGTGCCCTCCATGTGAGGGTAATTTCATCTTTTATTGGTCCATGTGGTTTGAAAACTCCTATAAGACTCAACCCACAACGTCTCTCTTCTCTTTCATCTTCATTCAGATAACACATCTCTCTCTCTTACTCTTTCTTGGTTGATCGATTTCTTTGTTCACTCACAATGGTGCAACAACTATGTTTTTGTGGAAGAGATGCTGTTGTGCGAACCTCCTGGACAGATTTAAACCCTGGTCGTCGTTTCTTTGCATGCCCTAAACAGGTAACAATGTGCAAAATTAGGTCGACGATTTTGATTTAATAATCCATCCACTTTTCTGTATAATTGTAGGATTCAAAATGTGGATTTATTGGTGGGTTGACCCCCCCCCCCCCCATGTGTCCAAGATCGACAACTATAATACCAGGATTGCTGAGAACAATCAACAGGCATGAGCTGGATTTGGGGAATATGCAACGTGATTCAAAAAAACTCAAGATGTATTTGGTTATAAGCTGGGTTCTGCTTCTTTTGGTTATCTACTTTAGGAATTAGGGCTTACATGTTAGGGTGTACTTTTTGGAAGATTGTTGTAATGTTGTGTTTTGGTGTTGGTTTTTCTAAGCTGGAAGTGTTAGTTTTTGTTATAAATTGTAAGGTGAAAGTGTTAGTTTTTGGTTATCAATGGTAACTTGTTTTAATGAAATTGTTAGTTTTTGTTATAAATTGTCTCAATAGTTTTTGTTATAAATTGTCTCAGTTGAAATGGTTATGATAATAGTGTATGGTGCAATGCTGAAAATGTTAAATGTTAACTATGATGTTAACCATAACAGAATACCAGAAAGTACGTTACCAATAACTGCTTTAACAAAACAAAAAACCAAACATTACCATTAAGCAGTACCAAAATTACATAGCTATTGCATAACCATGTTCAAAAGTGCATAACCATTACATAACCAAGTTCAAAAGGGCATAAATATTACTTAATAACTATAGTTTTAAAACATTACCAACTATTACAACCACAAATAAAACAAAAAATCTAGTAGCCTACCCTTGCAACATTACCATTAAGCAGTACCAAAATTACATAGCTATTGCATAACCATGTTCAAAAGTGCATAACCATTACATAACCAAGTTCAAAAGGGCATAAATATTACTTAATAACTAGAGTTTTAAAACATTACCAACTATTACAACCACAAATTAAACACAAAATCTAGTAGCCTACCCTTGCCAACACTTCAAACTTCATTTGCTTGATTGGTACCTCCATTCCCCCCCCCCCCCCCTTACCCTTGCATGTCCTGGCATGATGGCCCTTGTTCTTACACTTACTACATGTCACACTCACAAATTTCCTAGTTAGCTTCTGACTTTCACATTGACCTTGTTGTGGGTTCTCTTTCTGACTTTGGCTTACACTCTTCTCATCAGCAGTCTGCCTCCTTTTCTTTTTTGGTCTTCCTGGCTGCTTGTGGTGTGGTAGAGGGGTAAGGGTTGTTGGACAATCACTCTTAGGCCACATGCTCCTTCCTTTGATGGGGTCGACTGTGAAAGAGTACATGCTTTTCCATGTTTCTAGCCAATACACCTTATGCACATAGGTGTACAGTGTATTGTGAAGCACTTGATATGTTTGCATGTAACAACCTTTCACCAGTAGGTGTTAGTGGACCTGTGCACTTGTTTATCACCTTCATCACATTACAAACTCTTTTCATAAGATATTCCCTTATGAACTCCAAACAGGTTATTATTGGTTTATCCCTTCCTTTTACAAGCTTACTGTTGAAAACTTCACATAAATTATTCAACAACATATCTGACATTGCCCTACCTATTATTATATAGTACATGTTGGTAAGCAAAATCAATGGGAAATAATGAAAATATATAAAATTATACAAATAAGTAATTATCTGAGAAATGGCTTCTAGCCCAATGATGGGGAGGGATTTTCATAAGCCATTCATAAGCTTCCACGTCATAGGATCTGAAATCTCTCATCAATGTTTCAAACTCCGGGATGGTTGTGGCTTTAGCACAATTCCACAAATGTTCCTTGTACTCTGTAGTCCTCCATACTTTTCTCATATTCTCATAGATATGCCTTAGACAATATCTATGTTAAGCACAAGGAAATATTTGTGCAATAGCAGGGATGAGACCCTGTTTACATGAAGGAAATAGTTAAATTAGTATATAAGTATAAGTTAGTTGTCTAGCAAAATATGTTAACCATAAAAGTACCTTCTGCCTGTCACTGATAAATGTGAAGTTTGAGTTAGCATGAATGTCCAATTCATCTCCAAGACATTCCAAAAACCATTTCTAGCTATCGGTGTTCTCAGTCTGCATAATTGCATATGCTAGGGGATAGATTCCATTTTTGGAATCAACCCCAACAGCTGTAAGAATCTGACCTGGGAATGAACCTTTCATGAATGCACCATCCAAACCTAAAAAATACCTCATCCCAATCTTAAACCCTTTCTTTAAAGCTCCTAAGCACACATACATCCTTTTGAATTGCCTGGTTGAGTTGTTACAGTTAGGCTCAGACTCCACTTGAATTTTTACAGTTGTATCCACATTTGTTGCTTGTAACTCTAACACATAATCTCTTAAAACTGCATACTGTTTAGTATAGTCTCTGACCACCATTTTTGTTGCGAGAGCTTTAGCCCTAAAAACTTTGTCACCCGAAATACTAACCTCATACTTCCTTTGTAGCTCCTCTTGAATTGCACGAATTGGCACTCCAGGATTTGATTCAATCTGATCCATAATCTGTTTCGAAATGAAGGTGGCAGTGCAAGATTTGATTTTTCTGGACTGAAGGCAGATGTGATTGCGATTATACGTCTTTACAAACCAGTACTCATTATCATTTTCCCTAGAAGCGTGGAGTCTCCAAGTACACTTGGCCTTTTCTTCAATTACTTCTTTGCCCTTTACCTTTTTTGTGGTAGGTCCACCAACCCCACTTGCATTGACTACCACAATTCCCTTACAAACAGATGTCAACCTATGTTTGTCATTTTCTGTAAAACAAATATTTCTTCTAGTCTCCAATGCATGCCTATCAATTTTTTTTCCTTTAGTTCTTTTTTCATTTATATTTTTGTCCTACATGGAAGGCCACCTTGTGCACTTCACCATGAGAACACACTCTCTCCTTGCCTAACTATTTGATGATCTCCCTTCTTTTCCTATCATTGTATGAGTCTTCACCCATAGAATCCCTTTCATCATTATTAATAACCTCTATATCCTATACTTCCTCTTGAACATCATTACCCTCATGAAACTTATACACACTCCCCAAGTACTCTGCATCTATGTCTATACTCATGTAAAAATTCTCCATGTCTACTTCAATATCCGAAATTAGGTTATCTTCATCAACCATAAAGTCACTATCTTCACTATTGTCTTCACTGCTATCTGAATCATCATCATTACTTGCATCTACATCAGCCATGTTGGATGTTTTTTTTGGAATACTTTCATTAAATTCAACCCCATAGAAAGGGTCAAAATCTTCCAACATTTCCTCTTCTACACTATAGTTGTCTTCAAAAGGGACTTCATTTGATTGGTGTTGCTTATTCATAGTAGTACACCCCTCCTCTACACCCTTATTTGCAATAGGTTGCCCCTCCTCTACATCTTCATTCACTAATTTTTCAACCATTTCTACATCAGCATTAGTAGTCACAAGGTCAACTTGATCACCTTCAACAACACTTATTCCTCCTTTGTCTACCCAATCTAAGAAAAGTTTTTTACTACATGATGAGCTACCTTGGGTAGGTTTCCAACCTCTGCCCCTACTCAACTCAGGTGTGAAAAGCCCATACCTTGCCAAGGTCAACCCTACAGTAGGGGATACAGACTGAGGTGGTTCCTCATCTTTAATCTCTTCTATTATAACCCTTCTAGGACCATTTGGGGACATGAAATAGGTAACTAACGTTGTTTCTCCATGCTCTGTGTACACTTTTATTAGTTTGTTCTCACTCACATATTTTGATAGGTTACGTACATCATCATCATTACCTAGAGCTCTTAGTCCAAAATCCAAACCCTCATTAGGCAAACGGAAATGGTATTAGATGACAGGTGGAACAACATACCCTAAATCTAACATGATGGAGTCCATTTCGTGTACTGAGAACTCTTCTATATCGATCACATCAATGTATGCTACAACCCCTTCAATATACTTGATGCCTGGAAACTTTGTGAACTTCCCACCATGATGAAGTTCCATACTGAACATGGTGGGATGTCCAGCTTAAAAAAACAAAAAACGATTTTTAAATTTCAAAAGTGTAAGAACGTGATCAAATACAGAGCATCTTACCATAAATTTGATTGGGATCAATTTCTTTACCGTGTGCTCTGATGGACCACATTGTCAGAACTATTTGCGAAATTTCAACTACAGATTGAAGCTCGATCAGGAAAAGGGTTTGTGATTAGGTTTTTTTATCTTCATGTCGTCAAAGGTGGATGAAGGAATAGGAGTAGCCAACTGATAATTAGGGATGATATACACAAATAGGCTGTAGAGCTTTCAATTGGCGGTAATGTGTGATACAAATGAAAAGACGAAATTACCCTCACATGGAGGGCACGTGCTACACTAAACGGAAGGAAATGGACGGGAGTTAACTCTAGGGACCAAAACCACAAGAAGTTTCATGTTTTGGACCAACCATGCAACTTGAAAACATTTTGGACCTTATCCACAATTTTTGGATAACCACAGGGACGAAAAATGCAGTTTTGTCTATTTGAAAAAACGCTTACAAAAAGATTCGTTTAATAGTACATGTTTAGCTTTTAGTTTAAACAAAACTTTTTAAATTTAAAAACTACTTCATATAACTTTTAATAAAATGTTACTAAACTTTTGAAATCAATTTTACCGTTATATATATATATGGTTTAGGGAATATGTGACTGTTATGTACCTAATATTAGATATAGAACCATAATATATATATAGTTTAAGGAATATGTGGCTGTTATGTACCTAATATTGGATATAGAACCATAAAAAAGTGCATAATTTTAACAAAATGCAATCAAATCTCTCTACCATATTTCTTCTATCCTCTATTAGACTAGATTATAGGCTTTGTACATATTTTTATAGAGTTTAAAATATTAAATTTTACACTACAAACCATGTATAAAAATATATAATCAACTACCTATAAGTTTTCATATTCAAATTTAATATAGAAAACTATCGTGAAAAATTGAATATGTTCATTAAAAACCCAATAAATTTCTACTCATAATACATAAAAAAGAACCATGCAAACATACATATGATAGGTGTCAAAGAAAGTTATGAAGCCTACTAGAGATCAAGTATAAACAACACATCCGAAATACATAGATGTTGTGGATAAATTATGAAATCAGAAATAATATGAGCTCTAAAACAATAGGAAGAAACTAACAATAAAAAAAAAAATTGTGTTTCTCAATCAAAATGAAGTCAATTTTGATGGTTCTATATCTAATATTAGATACATGATAGCTACATATTCACTTTTTCCAATATATATATATATATATATATATATATATATATATATATATATATATATATATATATATATATATATTTCAAAAGATTCCGGCTATGTGTCAAATACTCATATAACAAATAAAAGCTACAAATTCCAACTACCAACTATCCGCTATCAGCTACTCATTATCTGCTATGAGCTTCTGGCTTCCAACTACTTTTGCCAAACATGCCTTAATATTAATAAAAGCTGTTTTAGAGTAGATTAACTTGATGTCTAGATATTTTACTATATAGTATTAAAATCTCTGTTTTTTTTTACAAAACACTTCAATTTAAACAAAAGATTCGTTTGACAGTACGCGTTTAATTTTTAGTTTAAACAAAACTCTCGAAAGCTAAAAACTACTTCATGTAGCATTTAACAAAACGCTACTGAGCTTTTTATATTAATTTCCAAAATTGCCTTTTTTAAAAACGATTGTTTTTTTTTTTTTTGTAATTTCATATATTTCAAAAGCATCTGATTATTTTTATCAAACTATCATATAACAAATAAAAGTTACAACTTTAAACTATCAGCTATCCGCTATCAACTACTTATTAACAACTTCTAGCTTTCAACTATTTTTGTCAAACACGCCTTAATATTAATGAAAACTGGTTTATAGTAGATTACCTTGATGTCTAGATATTTTACTATATAATATTTAAACCTTTGTTTTATTTACAATTGGTTTTTTCTATTTAGAATGTCTAACTTTCACATTTTTTTACAATTCCTATTTATAGGTTTATCTTTTTTATTTTTTTTTAAATATTCTTTTCGTTTTTTTTTTCAATTTAGTTTTTTTATTTTTTTATTTCAGTTTTATATAATCCACTTTTACAACTTTTTTTTAGTTTATAATATAATTTTGTTAGTTTCATTTGTAAAAATAATGTTGTAAAAGTAGATTGTAAAAAATAAAATTATGAAAAACATGTAAAACAATGAAAAGTAAAATTATATTAAATGATTGTAATAACATGTAAAATCAAAGTAAAACAATAAAGTTGTTTAATAAATCGTGAAAAAAGAACATGTAAAAATGGAACATGAAAAAACATGTATAAACAAAATAAAAAATGAAGTTGTGATTTAAAAAATTACATGTAAAAACAAAATAAAAAATAAAGTTATAAAATTAGATTTCGATAAAGTTGTAAAAATGAAGTGATGCAAACGGATTATTGGAAAATACATAAAAATGTTAATGAAATGTTGTAAAAAACACGTAAAAAATTATGAAAAAGAAAACTTATGAAACAGAATAACAAAAAATTGTAAAAACAAAGTAAAAAAATAAATTGTAAATAAAAAACACATAAGAAACTTTAGATACCAGAAAGAAAAAAAAAAGCTTAGAAACCCTAACCTTCAAATATTATTCAATTATCTTAAATAACTAAAAAGAATGTTTAATGACAATACGAAATAAAAATAAAAATAAAACTTATAAACACAGTCTTGTTAAGGTTTTGTTTTGCAAAAGGAAGTTAATTCATTATCATTTAATGTTTATTAAAACTATGAAAATAAATTATCATGGAGTATATAAACTAGTTTATTAATATGCTGGTTTGAAATATATTATTGATGAAGTAATTTAAAAACTAAAATTTTTTTAGGGCATCTAAAGTGCATTGAACTTTATAGAGTTCAATGGATTTTCATATCATTTTTGTACATTCGATACAACTAAATCAATTTTTTTCCTGCAATACATTTAAATTTACAAAGTTCAATAGAAAGTTACAAAAATTAATTTATAATATGTATTTAAGATTAGTAAACTTTTCTTTTCTCAACTAAAGAATCAGAATCTATTGAATGTTAAAGTGACATCTTATTATGGTAGAGTTTCATTTGTTAAATGACAACTAGATTTTTCATCTCAATCAAACCTCATTAAACTTAACATTGTGGATGTTTTTATATAGGAAATTGATTCGTATACAACAATTTTTTGCCATACACAACAATTCATGCATTATATGGTTGTACAATACAACATTTTAAAACACCAATTGTTGTGTATGGAGAAAAATTGTTGTGTACGGATCAACTCCCTTTTATATAAGACTAGGCCTCATTTATTAAATGACAACCATTAAACTCAAAATCTATTAAATATCAAGGTGACATTTCATTATGATAGAGTTTCATTTATTAAATGACAACTAGACTTTTCATCTCATTCAAACCTCATGTAATACATGAGTCTCACACCTAGTCTCATTAATTTTAATAATTTAATAATTTTCTCATTTTATAAATTCAAACTTTTTAATTTGTTAATTTTTCATATTTAATTTTTTTCAATAAACTCATGTAATACATGAGTCTCAAATCTAGAAAATTACAAAAATTAATTAATAGTCTTGTTAAGGTTTTGTTTTGCAACCCGAAGTTAATTTATTGTAATTTAATGTTTATTAAAACTATGAAAATAAATTATCAAGCAGTATATAAACCAGTTTTTTAAGAAGCTGGTTTGAAATAAATTATTGATAAAGTAATTTAAAAACTGAAATCTATTTTTTATGGCGTTCAAAGTGCATTAAACTCCATAGAGTTCAATGGATTACCATATCATTGTTTTTACATTCGATACACCCTCATATGGGCCTTACCCTAAGCCTATCAACATATTCTAGTCCATATGATTATTCTTGGATGACCCATTAATAATCCAATTACCAAAGCCCAAAGGAAAAGCCCAACACAAATCTCAAGTGAAATTAGGGTTTCACGTAAAATGATGATTGGGGTTAAGTTTCCTACTTAACCCATTAAGGAATTATTCCTCTAAGGACTTGATCCATTAAGTCCAATATTGCTTAGATTAATCTTGCCAGTGTTTATTATTTAATATTTCAAGTTATTAAGTAATTCCCGCGTGTCCCGACTAATTCCCCAAACTAGGGTTTTATTGAAAACCCTAAATAGGGTTTCCAACCCATATACTAGCCCATTTACTGATTTGTTGGACTTTTAGGTTATTTAGGGCTTTATTGGGCCTATCAAGCCCACTAGAATGTCATCAATCCCATTAGGGTTTTATTGGGTCAATTTGAGTCCATTAGAGGGTTTTCACTAAACCCATTTGGCTTCATTTGGGCCCATTAGGCTAATAAGTCCCATTAGGGTTTCAAGCATCCCCAACCGAGTCAACTCACAAGACAGGCACACAGCCACCCGACACGGCGGCCAGTGGTGGCAGGAGGCGGCAACCACCACCCTAAGGTGGTGGTTTCCAATTTCTTTTATTATTTCATTTCCAAATTACAATTACAACCCAAGAAATAAACACACAAAACGGAATAAACTTACACACACTCAAACAACCACCCTATGGTGGCCAATGGTGGCAGAAACGGCGGCAACCACCACCTTGAGGTGGGGGCAGTGGGTTTTCTATCTAAGATTGCTCCAATAATCCTCACAGTACAACAACTACATGAACACTCGACTACATACCCATGAAATAACGCACACTACTCGGACTTGAAGCAGCAGCGCACTCGAACTCATGAGGAACACGAACATGGCAGTGGCGGCGATGCGACATGGTGGCAACGGTGGCGCGTATGACGTCAAACAGCTCGAGGGAAACGAAAATACAAGATGAGGCTGATCTTACCAGGGGATTATGGTTGCTTGCAACCTTCTCTTCGTCGTTCACAACTCCAACTTTAATCTCGATAGTCCTCTTAACCGTTCACAGTGTCACCGGAAACAGAGCTGTGGTGGTCGGCTCGAGCTCGCAACCCCCTTGGCTTCGCCGACAAGGAGATCGATGGCAGCTGGAAGGTCTCCCATGGTGG